TTGTTCCTCTGCTTATCAACAGAAAGGTTGGCAAATCCCCTTGCCCTGTAGTTCCTACATTTTCAGCTTTTGCTTTTTGGCATTCTATGCAAACATGATGTCTGGAATTCTGCCACCTTTCCACACTCAAGCACTATAGGCTCTAAAAGCCCTGGACTACCTCATTTCTATCGGGTCAAAGGACTTACACTTCACCTGATGAAGCAGCAGCCAACCGAAGGTACCTTTCTTGACAGTTTGTAATTTATGAACCAACGCTTCGTCCAGCATCTAGTTTATGTACTGGAACGTTATCTAACTTGTCACTTGGCATCTTGAAGAGAGAGAGTGTGGTGCATCTTCATCATAGTCCCCGAAGCTGAAGATATCCCCCCCTTCTGTTTCTGGAATCCATCAGCAAGTACTGGGAGAAGCATGTGATGTAATTTTACAACTTGTGGTTTGAAAAGGTGACAAATTTCAGATATGGTGCTGCAGATATCTTCATCATACCTTGTGTTGCTGAACCTTTCAGTTGACACAAAATTAAAAGCGGGTTCTGTGACACTCGGTAGTTTCTCAGGATCTACTGTTGTCAAATCCAAGTACAGATGTTGAAATGCAGTGAAAGCTTAAAATAGTTAGTGCTGGTTGACCTTGTCAAGGGCAAAAATGGTTCCACAAGATTTAGGCCATCAAAGCTACAACACAGTACATTACTTTGAGAAAATCCAGCTCTAGGAAGTACCACACTATACAGACAAGCTAGAATGGTGACATTCTCATACTTGTGAAGAAATCAAGTAGATGATAGAGTGACACAGCACATATAAGAGTCAACCTACTGAAGTGCCCCTCTTTAATACTGACTGATTTATTACTTCTAGGTGCTATGTGGTTGCCAAACTCAGCCTCTTTATTCAATGGCTTGTGGTCAAAGTCATGATTTATTAGGCAGATCATACAGTCTAGTGTTTGTTCCATTACACTTGATGCATTGGTTGCTGTATTGACTAAGGAACTGGAGTAAATCTTGCATCTACCAACATTGTTTTCTATTTCACTCCACTGTTTCGTGACAATCCTGTTTAACATAAGAGAAGGGTGCACATCGAAAAACAAGTGATCTGGTATATGGTCAGTTTCAAGTTGCTCAGCAACAATGTCATCCACACCTACATTATGTGCAGTTTGATCTATCATTACAAAATCAATCTTTTCTATGAGCTGCTTAGATGAAGCACGACTATCTGCCAGCAAGATATTGAAGACAGCAACTTTTAGGTCTGCCAGGTGTTTATGGAATTCTGAACTGATGGCATAGTAGACAGGGATCTGTACTTCCCATTTATGTTAATTCCTTGGATAGAGGAATTTTTTTAGAGCCATCATCAGAGTAGGTTACTGTTACTTGCTTTTCAGAGTTCATTACTTTTTTAACTATCTCATGTAGAGCCAGCATCTTCAGACTTTTTCCTGCTTGCCTCACATTCTTGTCATGTGGTAGTGTATCCAAGTACAGAGGTTCACTTTTATTGCAGTATTTCCACACTCTACCAAACATTTTGTTTCCAACTCTGATCACAACAGCCTCAGCCTGAGATATGTGGTAGCAACTCTTTAATTTGTCTACTGTTTCTTTGTCTACTTTTATGCTCTGTTTGATGTGCTGATATTGTGGAGGACACCCATGATCACTTTTTGTTAATGTCTCTTTGGACATGAGCCTGCATTTTTTGGCTTTGTCAACTAATACTGATGTTGATGGTTCTAAAATATCTGTGTCAATGGATTCCATACTGGTTTCTTCCTCCTCTCATGACTCTTCTGTACTAAATCCTTGGTACTCTACTAGTTGCATCATCTCTTTCTCTTTTTTTCTGCCTCTTCCTTCTTCTTTTCCAGAGAATGCAGATCCCTTTTTCTCCACTCAATAGATTTCATTCATTTTCAATCTTCACAATACATTTTTCTCTTAGCTTTCTGGTCTTTTAGATACCTCCACTCTAGGTCTGTCATCTTTACCTCATGTGATTGTTCAAGCCTTTTCCATAGTACATCATCGTAACAGAAGACACTGAATAGATTATATGCACGTGTATTAAAGTCATCAACTTTTTCTTATAAGTATCATTTTCCCTTTGCTTCCTTGTCTGCACTAAAGTCGTGAACTCCTTGTAAAGTTCAAGGATGTTTTTCTTCACATACTTGGTTGTCACTGTATAGGGGTTGCAGAACATCCGAATGCTCTTTTAGAACCTCCGCTAAACGTAAATATTCATTATCCTTAGAATGTTGTGCCTGGCCTGCTCATTTTAGCCTGAGAAGGTAGAGCATATTTTGGATAATGTCTTTCTGAGTTGGAAGTCTGCCATGTGTAAACTCTGCCTCTTCAATGTAGTCAGTGGTGTCTAATGTCTTTTTTGGTTCTTGACCATGTCACAAACTGTGGTTTATCTAATGTTTGTGCCACATTAAAGATTGGTTAATTACCTGCTAATAGAAAAAGAGACTTACCACCATCAAGTTTTATGTGCTGCACCAAAGTGATATGATTCTGTGAAGGTCAGATTGAAAGTAAAACTATTTATCCCATACCTACAGGTTAAAACTAATATTAACAAAACAGCAACTACTGTATTAATTTCTAAATTTTTACTTAATATCACATCATTATGCAATTAGATATTCTCAAATTTTACCTTTCTAACAACACTTCTGTACATACTATTTTGAAGAAAGGTTTATATTTTTGTAAAATATAACCTCCTAGAACACAACTACATTAGAAACAATCAGTCGCTTACTGTATTTGGCTTCTTGGCTCTGTAGTATAGTATGTTACAAAAATAATAATATATATTTTATAAATTATATAAAGTATATGACAATGAAATGTATTTAATAATCAATATTATGGACATTCATAGAATTAAAATTTGTTTTAAATGTAAGTAAACATAAATAGTGAAGTACATGATAATATTGTCAAAGATGACATAAGACCCCTCAAAATTCAGGGGTATTACATGGGGGGGGGGGGTAAACCTTTCCTATCATAAAAATATTTTCATTTTCATCATTAGAACAACCAACTCTATGTTTCTGGGGGGCAGAGCAAATATATCTCCAACTTTTTTAATTAACACCACCCCCTAGTATAAGAGTATAGAACACACACATGAATGACCAAATTCAAATTTAGCTGAAATGTTTTGTTTTTGTTTTTTGAGAAATGATTATCATAATTAAGAAAGTCATCCAAATAGTAAGAATATAACCAGTTTTCAAGAAATCTGATAATATGTTATTAATTGGAAATTTTATTTAAGCTTTTCTAGAAATTGTGAGGAAATAGAGTAAAAAAATTAACAACTGTTGTCGTTAAGGAATGTAACAAGTTATGTCATATTTATTAAAAGTTTACAATAAAAAAAAGAAAAGCACACACGCACAAATGTGTGTGTATATATGATTTTCCTTTTGTTCCCACTTTGACTAAGGCTATTCATGTATTTATGATTTCCTTGTACTCTGAATTATTATAACATTTGACAGTAGTATCATTATGCATTTCTATTATTTGAGAAGCTCCTTTTTTTTCACGAAGAATAAAAGCAGATGTCTGACTTGAAAGTAATAACTGTTTTCTTGAAATGTGTTTTATTCTAAAATTGTAATTATAAATACATTATACCACAAGTCTTGAAAAATTAATTCTTGGATACTGAAAAAAGTCTTGATTGTAAAACCAATGGGAAAATTAAATGACAAAAGTCCAAAGTCATGGGTTAAATTTTGCAAATATTCATTGCAAACTTTATGATACAATTACACAAGAGTAACATGGAGAATGTAAGCATAAAAGTTCCACCAATGAGGGCAAAGCATCAATAGAAGCTATAAAACAGATAAAAAATAAGTCTTAAACAAAAGTAGCACCCATTAAGACGAATTTGTTTCAGCTTTCAAAAGAAAATACTAAAAGAAGGAGTAACATTAAGCATAACAACCAAAGTCTTAATTTGAACAAACATAAGAACTACTGATTAAAATATGGATTTCTTTCAGTTTTGGAAAGAAAACAATATTAAAAATAAGGAATAACATTATGCATAACAACCAAAGTCATAATTTAAACAAACAAAAGAACTACTGATTAATACATAGATTTCTTTCAGTTTTGGAAAGAAAAATATTACAAGGAAGAAGTAACATTATGCATAACAACCAAGTTTTAACTTAAACAAAAGAATACTCATACTTTAAGCTATGGAGAATGAAAACACTACAGTGAGGAACAAGGCTAAACAAAAACCAATGTTTTAGGAGAGAAGAACTCCATAAATTAAGCATAAATTCTTTTTTTTTTTTGGAGGGGAGGGGTCCTATTTGTATTAAACTAGAGGATGGTTATGGATCAGGTCAGACTGAGATCAAATATCACACATTTATACATAAGCACTTGTTCAAAATGAAGTCATAAAAAAGTATAAATGTTATTCTTAACTTCTTTGTTCTTTGTCCTGTACATAATATTATCATGTTTGCACTTGGTTTTTAAAAATACTCCAAAACTTAACATAAAACTAATATTACATGTATAAGCTACAAACTATAACAGCCAGTTTCACAACAGTAACAAATCTGGAAATATTTAACCTTTACAGAGCTAGATAACCGGAACCAGAAAATGTAGAATAACACAAAGCTCAAACTACTGGCACGTATTAATAAAACAAATAGAATTTAATTTGCATTTTAGTTTTCACAGACAATGTCTAATTTAATTATTTTTTTATGTGGGACTAAAAGTTTCCATCTGGTAAAGATTCAAATTTTGAAACTTCAAACCATAAAAGTTTTTTTTGCTGAAACATATATACTTTGATATTTAAAGTGATGGTGATGTGTGAGTAAATCATGTCTCTTCCCAGCATAAAAACATTTATATCTAAAGCCAAGATACCACAACGAAATAAATTATTGAACAAAAATAGACTTCCACCAACGTAACCAACTTATGCTGTTAAAACAGTATTTTATTTCAAAGGCAAAATAGGGAAAAAAAAAGGAAGATTAAGACTGTAATAACATACCATTCTTCAACCCTTTCCAGCCTAGTATCATTATTCAGGCCACATTTGCATTAATAAAAATTAACAACTCGTAAACAAAATTATCTGAAACACAGACATTTCAAACACAGAACGTGAAAACTGTTGAAAGCTACTAAACCTAAATACATTTCTTTTTCAATTCTAAGGTTATAATAATATAAAAATGCTGTGTGACACGTCTATATGCCAAGCTTTTATGCAATACACACATACTCACTGACTGAAAGCCAGGTTTCACATGTTTATTACCAATAATATAATCAAAGGCCTAATGACATCATTCACTACTAGTCCACTTTGCTGACGGAAATTTTGCAATAAAATATCTTGCATATTGTTAAGACAAATATAAGTATAGTAGTTATCTTAATACAAATTATTTATAAAAATTACCTATATATATTATCTTTAGAAGTTATGTACAGTTTATGCCAGGTAAGTACATCAAAACACTCTATAGTTTTGAATTATAATTAGCAGAATTTGTAAAGCAATTACTGCAAGAAAATTAGCAAACAAGCTAGAGTACTAATAAAATTAATTTAGCACCCTGATGTCACATAAAAAAGAAAACATGTTAGGGTTACATCATTTAAAAAAATGAAAACAATAGCCTTTTGACGTATTGTCTAAAAAATTTAGAAATGTACAATACACACAAGGAAAAAGAGCTATAGAGCAAATAGATTGTGAAAAACAAAATAATCCTAGCATTCAGACAAAATATTTATGATTTTGTTAGCTTTATAAGCTTGGAAGTCGTAAAACGAAAACTGCATTTAGTTGAAATTTACAATTGTTGACATGATCAATTTCAAAAAATAATTTTTTAACTATTTGAACTAAATTATATATAAGCAACAAATATGTACAGACTTGCAGTTTTGTTTTGTATGTTGAGTACTTTCATCTGTATAAAGTTTTAAATATTTCCACTCCCCAAATATGAACTGGGGAGGAGATTAAAATTAGGGTTAGCAGGCATCTTTTTTTTTGCTTTATAAAGCAAATGTTTTTAAAACATACATTAAATAAAATTCTAAATATAAGCATTTTAGCTTTATATAGCAAATGTTTTTAAAATATACATGAAACAAAATTCTAAATGTAAGCATTTTAGCTTTATTCTGCAGTTGATTTGAGGGGAGTTCAGATCATTTTTACAACTTTAGTGTTGTCATCTGACCTTATAAGAAAACACAAGATATCAGGCAGGAAAGGGTTAAAAGGCTTACAGTGGTCCATGAGTTACATACTTTACAATGAGTTTTGGTTACTTAATCTTGAAATACTTAGAAGTAATGTAATTTGCTCAAACACCAAACTTTAAGTAGGAGCCACAATATAAACAATGTCCTAGCCATAAAAACAAAGTGGTGTTAAGAACACAAGAAAACAGATAAACAGAAACATAAAAAGATACTTAGATATTTGAAATTAAAGATAAATATTCCAATCAGAGTAAGCTACGTACTTAGAGCAAAACTAAAAATCAACTAAGCCATTAGTGTATCTACACTGACAATGCACAATAAAAGTTCTTGAAATTTATTTTTCTATAACAGAATAAGCAGCTTCAAAAAGGCATAACTTGATACTGATGAAACCTTCCCACTCACACAGGAAAAACAATTTTATAGCAGACTTAGAGATTTAATATTGGTGATATGCTGTACTTAATTTTGCTATGCCTCCTTTGATATAAAATTATGTAAAACAAAACTCTACAAATTCATATTTTTTTTCCACTTAATGATCACTGAAGCAGTTTCAATATCACAACTTCACATTATAAAAGAAAAATACAAATCTGCAAATTTTCAGTTGAATCAGTTAGGAATCAATATTCCGATGATTACTTTGGACTGCATCAATGTAGCTTCTGATTCAAATATGAAAATTCCACTTTTATTTCTATTTTTGGAAACTTACATAAGTTACAGCTAAGGCTTCATATTTAAGTGAGGGCTGTGTGACCTGACATTCACTTTTATTAGTTACGACAACAACAAACAACATGAAACAATGATAATTAACAAACATTAAGTTCTGCTAACAACAACATTATTGTTCTTTCTCATTAAAACAAATTTTTTTCAGAAGATTAACAATAAAGTACATCGTGCTGATGTTTTCTTGAAGGCAGTAAACATTATTTTCAAGACCAACTATGAGTTGTTTTCCTTGATCAGCTGAAAAAACTTCGTCATCAACCAAACATATTTTCACAAGAGTTCTATTAATAAAAGCTCAATGCTGAGCACCAATAAAATTATAACAAATAAATAGGAGATAAAAAGACTAAACCACGACCCAGTCTTCGCTACTACTGTTGTTAGGACCTGGTCGTTTTTGTCGTTGTTTGATGATGAGCTCCAATTGAAGTTTTAAGCTTTGACGTAACTGACAAAGGCTCTCCTAGAATACAAAATAAGATTCTATTATGTTTGATCAGCAAAACCCAATTTTGTTTGCAGTGGACCTTATTTTAGATAATCATTGATGTGAAAAATGAAATATTTGCAACCTAAGGTGATTTAAATCATCCATATTATGCCTGTTAGTTTCTTTACTAAAAATTGTAACGTTAAAAGTTTTGCAATACTTTTGTAACTAATATCAACTAAATTCTTTTTATCATTATAAATTTCAATGAAAGATATTTTCATCTTTGCTCATGAAAAGATGGTATATTAAAAATACTTCCTATTAACATAAACATTTATTTGTAACCAGAGTGATATAAACTAAAGTGACTAAATTCTTACCACTTCACTTCTTAATTGCAAATATTCTTCCATGAAACTGCTCGTTTTTTGTTGATCCTCCTGCAAAGCTTTGCTCAGTTCTTCTCTGAAATACAAGATAAACCCTGATAAACAACTATATCATTTTAAGAATCTAAAGAAATATCCCCTTCAGAGGAATTACTTGGTAGTTAAATTCCATTAATATACTTCGCCAAACTTTGAAAAATTTATGACCATACTGATTACTAACTGACTAAACAATAACTGATTTTTAAGATATACAGTAATTATTAATCTGGCCTGACATGGCCTAGTGGATAGGGCACTTGACCCGCAATCTGCAAGTCTCAGGTTCGATTCACTGTCACCATACACACTCACCCTTTAGGGTTGCTGTCAGGGCCAGCCACCCATGTGTAAAAATTCTTGGCTAATGTAAAATACAGGAGTGGCCAACCACAAATCTCGATGCGATTGAGGTCTTTTAAAGATATACAATACATAATAATGCTTGGAGATGGCTTGAATGGGTAATGAAGAAAAACATTAATATAAGTTTAACATGACAGCAAATGTACAACGTTTCGACAAGGTTTTGTCATAATCAGGTACAAGTACTACTTAACTACTATTAACCTAAAGAATTACAATGCCATACATGTTAACAAGTGTTTTGAACCTCTGTCTATACATATGAATTTGAAGAATATTACAAATGACTGTTTAATATCTAAAAACACAGATCAACAGCAGTACACTTCAAGATGTTCAAAATGTATATATATTTTTCATCTTAGAAAGTGGAAAAAGCTTTATGAACCTCACTGAAGATAACACTTACTTTTTATCTAAGAACGTCTATCAAACAACTTTTATTTTACTTTAGTATTTCAGTATCTATAAAAAAAAGTTCCGTTTTAGAAGTGAGTTACTGGTTGCTTTCTAAACAAATAAATTACTTGAACTATGCAAAAACTCTTTAATTAATTATAACACAGAAAAATTAAAAACAAAATGCAATAAGAATAATGTTTTTGCATTTCATTAAATAAATCAATGTAAAATATAAAACACTGGGATAAAAACATGCTCCATGGCACCAAAGCTCAACTTAACAATTGGTTCTACAGTAAAGTTATATTCTGAAGTGGTATAGAAAACATACAACACAAACCAGTAAGAAGATATACAATATCATATAATGCTTGGAGACAATATTGCAATATACAATATCATCCATGACAGCTCTGAACTGTGGCACCTAGAGATATGATACTGACTGTATAATTGTACAGGATAACAATACCTAGGAACAGAATATCAATGTTAATGTGTACTGGACATTGACACATACATACAATATTGTCTGTTTTTATACAGCAAAGCCACATTAGGCTATCTGCTCTGTCCACCATGAGGAAATGAATCCTGGATTTTAGTTTTGTAAGTCTGTAAACATATAGCTGTCCCATGGGGGGACAGAAACAATATCAACCATAACAGCTAAAGAAAAGTGATAACCAGAAACGCAGTATCAAGCATAGTAGCTACGAGATGGTGAGAACTAGGGATACAATATTAACCATATTAAGTATTGGAAAGAGGTACCCAGAGATATAATATGAATCATAACAGCTACTGATAAGTAGTACCTAAGGATACAATACCAACCAAAACAGCAACTGGACAGTGGTATCTATAGATACAATACCAACCACAATAGCTACTGGACAGTGATACCTTGATATTAAGTACCAGGCATAACAGCTACTGGTCAAAGATACCTAGGGATACAGTATCAATCATGCACTGACTATAATAGCTGTTTGACAGTGATGCCAAGGATAAAAGATCAACCATGAAAGCGACTAGACCATGATACCTAGGGATACAGTGTCAACCGCAATAGCTACTAGACAGTGATACCTTGGGATACAGTGTCAACCACAATAGCTACTAGTCAGTGATACCTTGGGATACAGTGTCAACCATAATAGCTACTAGACAGTGTTACCTAGGGATACAGTGTCAACCATAATAGCTACTAGACAGCGTTACCTAAGAATACAGTGTCAACCATAATAGCTACTAGACAGTGTTACCTAGGGATACAGTGTCAACCATAATAGCTTCTATAAAGTGATACCTAGGGATACAGTGTCAACCATAATAGCTACTATAAAGTGATACCTAGGGATACAGTGTCAACCATAATAGCTTCTATACAGTGATACCTAGGGATACAGTGTCAACCATAATAGCTACTAGACAATGATACCTAGGGATACAGTGTCAACCATAATAGCTTCTATACAGTGTTACCTAGGGATACATTGTCAACCATAATAGCTACTAGACAGTGATACCTAGGGATACAGTGTCAACCATAATAGCTTCTATACAGTGTTACCTAGGGATACAGTGTCAACCATAATAGCTACTAGACAGTGATACCTATGGATACAGTGTCAACCATAATAGCTACTAAACAGTGATACCTAGGGATACAGTGTCAACCATAATAGCTTCTATACAGTGTTACCTAGGGATACAGTGTCAACCATAATAGCTTCTATACAGTGATACCTATGGATACAGTGTCAACCATAATAGCTACTAAACAGTGATACCTAGTACATCTGTGGAGGAATATCTTGGCATCTTTTCTGAGAAAAGGTATTTGTAGAGAAGCAAAGTTGTGGGCACATTAATTTCAAAGTTGATTAAATTTGTTGTAACACTAAATGAGGCTTTGATGCACCTGAATGAATATTACAAAGATGGATGTAAGAATGTTTCTCTTCAAGCTTTGTGGTCACCCAAGTTTCTCATATAAAGATAAATTTAAACTTCACAATAAAGCAAAGGCAAACTCTCATCATCATTATCAGAAAAATTTTTGGATGCCAATTATTATTGAAATGGTAACTGGGAATACAAAAAAGGTGCTGCTACATCCACAGTCGTTGAGGACCTTATATGTGCTTTATAGAAAACTTTTGAGTTTTGTGAAATTTAGCACCCTGTCACTCACAAGTTTATGCTCGTTATGTGAAATAAAATTTCTGCACTGTGTAATCTGGATGTCAAGAAACTATGGCTGCTTCAGGATGAACTTATCCAAACCTAGGAGAAGTGACCAATATTCATACTAACTCCTTCTCAGATATACTTGTGAAGTCATCTGACTAAACACATCCACAGACTTTTGTGCATTTGGGTTGCTTAAACATGGTGTTGCAAGCTGGTTTCCACATATGGTTGAGAATTTTGTGGAAAGTTTGTCATGAGGTGTTATGTAAGACTGACCTTGCCATAAATTGTGGTGTGAGTAATAGTGAATAATCATGGCCATCAGAGTGAGCAAAATCGACGATGGATATTCTACATTTCCAAGGGTAGCATAAGACCTGGATCATTGTTCTTTGTAACAAATGGACAATTTTATCTACAGATACTATATCAACCATAATATCTAATAGCCACTGGTATCATGACAGTAAAACAACAATTTAATGATATCCTAGACATCTTGAAAAGCCACACAAGTAGTGACTGACCAATGGTATGTAAAGAGTAAAATGGTAATCTGAATAGTTACCAGCCAGTGATATGAAAGTAGTCGAACAACAACTTAAGTAAACCCTAGAGAGAACAACAACACAAGTATATCCTAAAAAACAGAACAAAAAAAGTAAATCTTAGTGATATAAACAACAACATCAATAAATCCAAGACAGCAGAACAGCACCATATGTAGTCCTGGACAGAATGACAACAACTTAAGTAGACTCTAGACAGTAGAAATACAATGTAAGTAACTCCTAGGCAGTAGAACAACCATACTGAACAGTGATATGTAAAAAGTACAACAGTAACTTGAATAGATACTGGTCAATGATATCTAAACAGCAGAAAAATCAACTTGAATATCTACTGGACCACAAAATTCTGAAGAGTTCAACAGTCACTTAGTAGTTAGCCAACAACGAAATCCATAAAGAACACAAGTAATCCGAGTGACCCAAGTGTAAAAAAAGGAACGTACAGTTTTATTTAGAGAAGAACTTCTGGACAACATGATATTGGTTAATAAATTAGTAACAAAACATTCAAGCAACACTTATTACAAATATTTTACTATTAACATTGCAAATATAAATAGTGAATGTATTTTTTTTCTCCTTAAGATAACGTGTTAACAGGGTCATATTTATGCAAATATTTTAACTCATACAATAATAAATTTTTAATGCCCTTTTGCAAGTTTTTATACATTTTACAACTTTATGTTCTTTATAAGTTTAAAAGTCATGCATCTGTGAACTCTCGACATTAACAAATTATTCTAACCAGATGACTTACTCCAAAAATATTTAGAACTAGAGTATATTTCAAATACACAAAATGAAAATTAGTTATAAATAAGAACAGAGCAAACCTTCTTTCTGTTAAAAATTTTACTTCTGTCTGGACTTGGAGATACTCTTGAGCCATCTTCTGATGCTCCTCAAATATGGCAACAGACTCCCAGCAAGAGTGGGCAGGTGGAAGAGGCTGAAGAAGAACCATTAATGTGCAACAGAATATAAAGTTAATTTTTTGTAAAAATATATATATATATATATACATATTCAAAATCAGTTTTATATTCAATCATTCAGAAACATTTAAAATGGGATTAAAGCTTTCTGAATTAAATCAAATGGAATGGTAATTAATTATTTCTACTAGAATAACAGAAAATAATTTTTAGTTCGACACAAGAAGAAATTTTTATTTGAAACTTATATGTTGCTGGAATTAGGGATGAGTTAAGATTTGCATAATTTAATAATTATATCACTATTTTACTTTACATTAACAAATAAATC